AAGTGCTGTGAGGGAAGGATGCAGGCTCTTTAGAAATGACAGGGAAGAGGAGAGCTCATGAGTGGGGTCAGAGTGGCTGTGGTGGTATCATGCTGTGATTCTGTTAAAAACCATCCAAGCAAGGTGTGGAAGTAGAGAAAAGGTCCTGTAAGTAATTTGAGGAAAGTCTTTTCTGGAGAGAGGAAGATCTCTTCTGGATGGGAGGGGAGAATCCTTCAGTCCTTGACCTTGTCTGTCCCTCCCACAGCTCTGGGATGCTGGAAGTGGTTCCTTGCTGCAGAAGCTGCCAGCTGACCTGCCTGTGCTGGATATCTGCCCCTTGGAAGTGAACCAAACCCACCTCCTGGCTACTCTGACAGAGAAGACGGTGAATATCTACAGGTGGCAGTGAACTGTCCCAACACCTGCCACAGACTGTCCAAATATGCTGCTGATCAACCCTACACAACTGCTGCTCGTGCTGCTTACAGGAGACAGGATCCATTACAGCACCTTTCTGGCAGTAGGCAGGAACTAGGATGTGTTGGTGCCTGGAGCAATTCCTTTCTTTCTCTGTCTTCCTCTTTAGGCCTGCCCTTATTTCTTCTTTGGCCAATTTTCTTTAGTCAGGCTCCACAAGCTGCCTCAGCAGAGCAATAATTCCTGGAGTGTCTCCAACATGTGTTGCTGCACTTTTTTTCCACTGTGAATACAGCACAGGGACTTGCAAATCTCTGCTACAAGTGAATAATATAAGAGGAACATGAAGACCTGAGACTCCACTGCACTTTCTGGTGGAGTCCTGCCGTGATTAGTGGGTGATGAAAAGGTGGTGATGTTGCAGGCATTGCTGATACACAGTGTGACAGCAAGTTCACTGCTTTGGGGAACACACTCCCGCCTTCTGTTGAAGGTCTAGGGTCAGTTGGAACTTATTCCCTGACAAAGACCAACCCTATTTTGAGGCAATGGAGAGAACAGGCTTGGAAAATCTACAGAGAACCTTTTTCTTTTTGGTTTTTTTTTCCCACGAGCATATAATTTGCACTGTAATTCCTTAATTCTCTGCCTTCTCCATTCCCTCCTCTTGTTCCTGCTTCATCTGCAAGCAAACTTGGACAGTTTGGTTGTGGAAAATGACATTAGTACTGGAGAAGTACAGGTAAAGAGGAGGGAGATGATTCTTACACTGTTGGCTGCTGCAGTCCACAGTGTCCTTCCTTAAAGACAGGAATGTACTGAAACAGCCAGTACCTTGGAAAAGAATGCTGGCTGCTTTTGTTGTCTGGGGGAGGGGAGTTGGCTTTTTTCTGTTTTGAGGAACTGGTAGAAGCTCAGGGATTTCATCAGCTTGCTTTCACTGACTTTTGCCTCCCTAAGTCATCGTTTCCAGCTCGCAGCTGGTGACAGAGAGGTTCCAGTTGTGTTTGTGTGAGGGTGCTGCAGCCACTGGTTTGTGTCAATGTGAGCCCATGGGGTGGGGTTGCAGCCTGGGGGATGTGTCCTGGCCAGGTGGGCTCTTAGCACCTTCCTGTAAATACTCTGAGGGGTGGGAGAACGTTTATCTCCAGGTCAGACCATGAAGGAGGACTTGGGTTCCGTTTTATGTGTAACAAAAGCAAACTTGCAAGGATGTTGGAAGCTGCAAGACAAATTCCCTGTATTAGAAGCTTATTCCTCAGCACAGCTCTGCCTCTGGACGTGCCACCACTTCAACTGCCAGGATAATTTTATTTTTGAAAGTCTGGGGCTTGCACAGTGTGAGTCTGTTTGTCTTAAATGGGACTGAGATGATGTTGACTTAACTTTATATTTTTCTGTATAGTATTTTGTTCCTATATTTTTATATAAGAATAAAATGTTCATAGTTATCAAATATAACTGGTGCTGCTGTACTTTAAAAATAGGTCTCAGTGACATACAGTGCATGTCTTGTGAACATAACCAAGTGTTCCCTTATGCAGGTGAGGTTTCTCCTGCTTTGTATTACCTCCAAGTCACACTGAGCTTCAGACTGAAATAATGGATGTGTTAAATGAATGAGGAATCCTCACTGAACCATCCTGCTCTGGCCAGGTGAGGGGAAGGGAAAGGGTCAGGCCATACACCTGCATATCCTTTAAACTGAAAATAACTCACTGACATGAGAATTTTTGGCATTTTAACAATGATCAGGAAAATAAGGGCTGGTAGAATGACATTGTGAGGTCTCTGGTAATGCCAGCTAAACCAGAAGGAGCAGGATGCTCTCTGCTCTCTGTTCTCAGCTATTTTGAGGCATCATTTATGTTCAGTCAACTCTAACCCTGTCTTACCACAAGAAATCTGGAAAATTTTAAACATACACAGGAAAAAGAATTAAAATGTTTTGATTTGAATCCTTTGACTTTTGATTTTCTAGGTAACACTTGTTTTCTGCTTTTATACAACTCAACAGGAATAAGAGATACAAACTTAATGCTATTAAAATAATAATGGAAGATGACTCTTTCATGTTCTCAGTTTTCAAATCCAGAGTTTCAGAAAATGTTCAAAGATATGTGAAGAAGCCTTGTAACACTGTTCTGTTTCCAGGTTTGCAGCAGGCTGCAGGAAAGCACACCTAGCTGGTGTGCAGGAATCCATCAGCATGGAGCGCTGATAAAAGGTCAAACGTGTTAATTAAATATTTGCTCATCTCTGTCTGGAGTCAAAGGGGCAGATTCTGGGATGGAAGGAAGGAACAAATCAGTGTCTCTTCACTGTGCAGGGCAGCTGTCATGAGAGGCTGAGCTGCTTTGCTGGTGTTTTAGGCATGAAGCCACTATGTGGCTATTTCTGCCTCTGTCTCTGGGAAGATTTTGTTCTCGTGGAGCAGGGCGGCCCCTCGGCAGTTCTGCAGTGAGTCTGGGGTGAGGTGAAGGTACAGCCAGGCAGTGCTGGGGCTCCTGCAGCCTGGGCCTTGCTCAGAGCTGGGCACGGGCACTTCTTAACATTTTTCTCTCCAGGCTGTTGCAGGGCAGCACCTTTTTTAATTTTAATTCTTGTAAAAGCAGGCCTGGGGGACAGCACAGTGCTAGACAGAGCTGGCTGTGGTGGCTGCTTGGATGGAAACAATGCAGCCCCTGCTGCTCCCTGGGGAGGTGTGGTGTCAGAGGGGTGCCTGGTGGGGAAGGGGAAGCTGGAATCAGAGCCCTGCTCTCAGAGGAGGGCTGTCCTCCATGTCTCCCTCTAACAGGGATGATCTGGTGTTAGGCTGTGGTAATCCATGGGGTGACCAAGAGGGGATGAGCAAGCAGCCAGCTCCTGGCCTTCACATCACGGGGGCTTTGCTGCCCTAGCACCAACCGTCGCACTTGAGCTGCTGGTTGGTAGTGACTCAGGTGACATTTTGACAAACAATCAAAAATGTTGCAGATGACAAAAGGTCATGCTAAAGCCTGAGCCAAGAAGTGAGCACAGCTTGGGGTGTGTGAACATGAGGCAGGACCAGCCAGCACTTTGCTCTGCTCTGGTTGCACCCGCTGCTTCCTGGAGGGCGGAAAAGCGGCTATTTTATGTGTCCTGAACCAAATTGGATTAAAACCAGGCAATGCAGCAAGTGAAACAAGCAGCTTAAGCTGAACCTTGTTGCACTGAGGTAGCCAGAGCATCCCAGTGGGATTTCATTTAGTTCTCCTTTTCAATTTGTGAGGAGACGTGACAAGATTTTCTGCTTATGTAGATTTGCAGGGTTTCTTACCAAGGCAGTGTAATTCCTTAACAGACCCAGCTTTCTGCTGGTTCATGAAGGAGAGAGAATATGAGGAAAAAATAGTTCAGGGAGGAGGAAGAGGAAAGAAATAAAGGAAGGAGCAAGCAAAAACTTGTTTTCTGTTGGGTTTGATTTGCATTGAATGCCAGAACTAGTAAACGTGAAAGAACAAATTTCACTGCCAAGAGACATAGGGAGAGGTGGCACAGTTTCCCTTGCTGGGGTGGCACTTTTGACTTTCTGTTAGCAAATCTTCAGTGAAAGCTGTTTCTATCTGCAATATGAATCAGCTGAGAGCTCAGACACTGTTTGAGCCCAGCTTCATCCCTCATCCTTGCAGAGTCTCCTGCAAAGTCGAGCAGAGAGGGTCACAGTGCCTTGGCAGCAGGACTGCCCCTCCACTGAGCTGCTGTTGGCCCCTGCCTGCACTCAGCCTGCAAAGTCGAGCATGTTGGTGTCAACAGCCTCCCTCAAGATAACAATATTTATCATTGTTTACTTGCTTTTGCAATAGTTAAAGATATTTGGAGATACTGCTTAGGAGGCAGAAGTGCCTCCTGCTCACGTTATTTCTCTTTGCTAGATGAGATTTCTCTTTGCTCCCCTCTGGATGGCACTGAGAGCTGTGAGTGCCCTGGTGTTACAGAGCACTGGGTGCTCTGGGCCTGTGGGAAACTGCTGCTCCAGTGCAAGGAGTTCATTGATAAACTCTGGGAGCCACAGCAGCGTCCTGAAAGCACCAACAGCATGTGGGATGTTGCTCCTCTGCTGTCTCCTGCCAAATAGTGCCTCTAAGTTGCAAGAAAAAGAAGAGTTTGGGGATTCGTGCCCTAAAAAGCTTATCTAATCCTTGGGACAAAATTTGCAGGTGACAGATTCTCTCCAGCCCATGCTGGTCAGGAGAAAAAAATACCTCAAACTAATTTCAGTGATTATCCCACCCTGTGAAGCAGAATTAATTTGAGGGTCCAGAGGCTGTAGTCTTGCATCAAGTCCAATTTGGTGCTTCTGCTGGCAGCAGAGGTCGTGGGAGGGGGAGTGAGTCCCCAGTGCTTCCGAGGGTATCAAGCTGGAATCAGCACTGAGTGCTCAGGAAGGTGGAAGCAGGACTAGGAAAGAATTGTGGCAAGTTGGAGAAAGGGCTGGACAATTGCCCTCGGGTTTTTTTTGTTTTCTACAGGTAGGTGCTAACTGCAACACAAAGCTGCAGCAATATGGGGGGGACAACAGTCTCTACAGTAATGACTTCTGAGGGTTTGTCAGGCAAAGATGTGTCTTTGGAGGAAAAAAGGTCAGCTGGGCTGAAGAGTTGTGCATGAGAGGCATGAAGCTCCCCTTTTTGCTCTATACTCACAGGGTTGTAGTTGCAATATTGTCTCCTCTTTGTCCACAGCTTCCTTGGAAGGTATTTCTGTGGTCTTCTGCTTATCTCCAAACAGGGATGAGTAGACTCTGACCTACAAGAAAAGCAGAAACAGAGTGGGGCTGAACCTGAGCATGTCATGCAAATAAACCATGAAATACCAGGCCAGTGTTCCCGCCTCAGCCAGCAAGAAAAAGTGATTAATGACAGCAGTAACAAAGCACCTGACTTGGTTCTCTGCAGCAGCATTTGCTGGTGGAAAGGATCATCTGTTGGGAAAGACAGTGCTGAAGTTCTGGGGGATGCACAGCTTTGGAGGGAGGCAGCTGAGTCAGGTTGCATGCAAGGAGAGGGCCTGAGCACACTGCACAGGCAGAGCTGGGATTTGGAGCAGTGCCTGTGGCCACATGGGAGCAAGCAGACTGTATCCAATTAAAAACTGGAGCAGCTCCTCCACATGGACTGAGGAAGAACTTTTGTTCTCCTCGAAGCAGTAGAGAGCAAGAACACTGCTGGGAAGGAGCGAGAGGTGTCCCAGCAGCTCAGCTCACCCCGGCCTCGCTCTGCTGGGGACATTTAAATGGCATTTGTTGCTTGAAGTGGTGAGATTTAAATGTGCTGCCCACTACAGAAGCAAGGGACTGCAAGCACTTAATGCAGCACCCAGAGACTGAGAGCCTTGGTGGTAAAATGCTTAAAATGTGGCAATGAGGGAATTTCTGCTGAGGGAGAGGGGCTGCAGTAGCAAGGAGCTGCTGGGGTTATCACACAGGCAGAGATGTCCCTGTGCCCAAAGACAAACCTCTCCTTTGTTAACTTGCTGCATGGACATGGGGACCATAGGGCTCTTTTATGAAATGCTTGTTTCATGGTGGACTGTGCAGAATGGTAAAATCCAAGCCTGGGAGGAGGTTTTCCTTGTGCAAAAAATGACTCTCCGGAGAGCTCCCAAGGGTGTGGGAAGGAGAAGCGAGCGGTAACCCAGCTCCATTGCTCCCCTCTGTCCTCATCCTGCAGTGGATGGAGGAGCAGAGCCAGCTCTCACATTGGGCTAACTTCAAATAACTCCCACTAAGCCAAATAGGCTGCCAAGCACGGGCTGGATTTTGCTGGCTTTTGTTCTCAAGTGTTCCCAGCTGCGTGGCCCCTGGGTGCCAGCAAAGCCACTTTCCGAGCGCTGTGTCCCAGCGTGACACTTGAATGAAGGAAGTGCAGGGACTTTGCCAGCTGAGCCCTCTCCCTCTCGCCTTCACCTGGACAAGGTGGCTGCAGGTTGGTGGCCACGCTGGGCTCAGGGTGCTCTGGTAGCTCCTGGTGTGAGTGTGACAGTCGGTGGCGTCCTCAAGAGAAAGGCTTTTCCCAGGCAGGATGAGGCAGCCTGGGGCAGGAGGGGAGCGGCCCTGCAGCTCTGCTTCACCCCAGCTCACCCAGCCAGGGCAGAGCCATGGAGCACCCTGGCATTAGGCAAAAGCTTCTGACTTTGGCCTGATGCCAGCTTGGGCTAGGAAAACTGCTCCTGGAATCAACCAAGCAGAGGAACTGAGGTGGGATTCTCCCTGTCCCCCATTTCCATCTGTCGTTGGAAGCAAATCTGACATTTAGGGGCAAATCCATCCTAGGAAGGTGCTGTGAGCTGACCTGGTGAGATCCTGGGGGAACACCCAAAAACCTGTGGTTGCTGAGCTGGAGGTGGAGCTGTGTCCCACTGCTGCCACTGACCCAACACCTGGACAGGTACTGTTTTACTGGGACATTTGGGGTCTGGCTGCTGGGGCAGAGCGGGCTGCAGCATCCCCAAAACGCTGCTCCGAGGGGAGCTGTGTGGTTGCAGACACCACTTTCAGATGATCCGTCACCAAATTCAGCATCCAACCCCCCCTTACTGCCCTAGGAGGAACCTGTGGATCCCATTTACACCAGGATCAGCCATTGGAGATCCTGCTTTGGGGACAAGATCACTCTTACAGCCCCATTTCTCTCCATCCCCATGAAGAAAGCCAAGGGGCTGTGATGAGTGTGACCTTGCAAATCCCACCCCCAAAACCCAGTGGCTGGCACTGACAGGGCAGGAGGTGCAGCCAACCCACCAACGCTGAAAATGAGCCACCTCACGGCACCCCCAAGACGTGACTTTTCAGCCCTTGTTCAGCTGCCTGCTCCTTGCAGGGAGGGCCAGCCTGCTGCAGGCTGTGGGATTTATCCCATGCCCTCCTGCCAGCCCAGCATCCTGCCCCAGGAGGGGCCATGAGGGCATCCACACACAGGGAGATCATCCATCCACCTGACAGTTTGGCACTCAGCATGGAGAAATGACAGTGGCAAAGTTGACTGTCAGCATTTTATTAATGGTTTTGGGGTTTTTTTAGTTTTTTAGTTGATATTGTTTCTTCATTCTTCTGTAGTTTTCTCTCATTCTTCCATATTTTTCAGTATTTTTTCTTCATTCTTCGGTATTTTTTCGTTTACCTGTATTCTTATTTTGTTCTTCTGTATTTTTTCTTCAATCTTCCGCATTTCGTCTTTGATCTTCCGCATTTTTCCCTCGATCTCCTGTATTTTTTCTGCTTTCCTACGTATTTTTATTTTGTTCTCTGTTATTTCCTCACTCTTCGGTATTTTCTCTTTACTTTCCTGTATTTTTAATTTGTTCTTCCGTATTTTTTCTTTGATCTCCTGTATTTTTATTTCATTCTTACGAATTTCCATTTCGTTCCCTGTTTTTACTTCACTCTCCAGTATTTTGGTTTCGTTCTTTGATATTTTGCTATTTTCTTTGTTCTTTATTTTTCCTTTGGCTGCCTTTATTTTTTCTTTCATCTCTTGTATTTTTATTTCATTCTCTGTATTCTTCCGTATTTTTTCGTCAAGCTCCTGTATTTTTCTGTTGAGCTTCTGTATTTTTTCTTTGTTCTTTCTAATTTTTTCTTTGATCTGCATTTCTTCTTCAATCTTCGGTATTTTTTCCGCACTCTTCAGCCTTCTTTCTTCCTCTTCCTGTATTTTTTCTTTGATCATCTCTAATTTTATTTCATTCTTCCGTAACTTTTCTTTGATCTGCTGTATTTTATTGTTGTCCTCCTGTATTTTTATTTCGTTCTCTGGTTTTGCTTCATTCTCCTGTATTTTTTCCACAATCTTCAGCCTTCTTTCTTCATTTTCCTGTATTTTTTCTTTGATCATCTGCATTATTATTTCATTCTTCTGTATCTTTTCTTTGATCTGTTGTACTTCTTCTCTGTCATCCTGCATTTTTATTTCATTCTCCTGTATATTTTCATCGAGCTCCTGTATCTTTCCTTTGATCTGATGTGTTTTTTCTTTGATCTGCATTTCTTTGTTCCTCCTCATTTTTTCTTTGATCGCCTGTATTTTTTCTTTGAACTCCTGTATTTCGTTCTCTGTTTTCATTTCATTCTTCTGTGTTTTTTCCACATTCTTCAGCCTTCTTTCTTTTTTTTCCTGTATTTTTTCTTTGTTTGTCTGTATTTTTATCTCATTGTTCCGTATCTTTTCTTTGAGCTGCTGTATTTTTTCTCTGCCCTCCTGCATTTTTTCGTCAAGCTCCTGCATTTTTTTGTCAAGCTCCTGTATTTTTTTGTCCAGCTCCTGTATTTTTCCCTTGTTCTTAATTCCTTCTTTGATTTGCATTCCTTCTTCGTCCGTCAGTATTTTTGATTTGTTCTTCCTTATTTTTTTTTTGATTGCCTGTACTTTATCCATGAACTTCTCTATTTTTATTTCATTCTCTGTTTTTACTTCATTTTTCTGTAGTTTTCCCACATTTTTCAGCATTCTTTCTTTCTTTTCCTGTTTTTCTTTGTTCATCTGTATTTTTATTTCATTGTTCCGTATCTTTTCTTTGATCTGCTGTATTTTTTCTTTGTCCTCCAGTATTTTTACTTCGTTCTCCTGTATTTTTTCTTTGATCTCCTCTATTTTTTTATCGATCTCCTGTATCTTTTCTTCGTTCCTCCTCATTTTTTCCTTGTTCTCCCGCATTTCTTCTTCATTCTTCTGCATTTTTTCTATGTAGCTCTGTAATTTCTCTACATGCCTCTGTATTTCTTCTTCATTCATCGGTAGTTTTTCCTCATCCTTCTGCTCTTGTTGCTCCTCTCTAATCCAAGCCTTCTCAAAGCCCAGTTTCCCCATGATCTCTATTACTTCTCTATCACTGGGTCAGCTGAGTTGCGAGTGGGAACCGAGAGATTTCGGGCAAAATCCGGTCACAGCTACAGGCCACCTACTGGGGGAGGCCCGCGGCCCGCCTGCCGCCTTCCCGCCGGGGTGAGCTCGGCTCCTCGCGTCCCTCCGAGCACCGGCGCTGGCTCCGCAGCGTGGCCCTGCGCGGCCGGGGGGCTGAGGGGGACCCTGAGGGGTTGGCCGGGGCCGTGAGGGGTTAGGGGGCCCCTGAGGGGTTTTGCGGGGGCCGTGAGGGGGTTAGGGGACCCCTGAAGGGGTTTTGCCGGGGCCGTGAGGGGCCTGAGGGGACCCCTGAGGGGTTGCGGGCCGCGAGGGGGTTAGGGGGCCCTGAGGTGGTGCGGGGCCCGTGAGGGGCTGCGGGGCCGTTGGTGCCGTTCGGGCGCGGCGCTGCCACCCGAGGAACAGCCCTCGCGCCGACCCTGAGCGACCACGGCCGCGCCGCGGTGCGGAGGGGGCGGGGCCCGCGGCAAGCCACGCCCCCCTCCTTCCGCCCAGGAGAGGGGCGTGGTCCCGCCGCCGTCACGCGCTGATTTGCATACCGCCGTGCGTGCCGTGGGGCGGGCGGCGGACGCCGGAGGTGGCGGGATCCAAGATGGCGCCGTGCGGACGGTCCGAAGCCGCTGCCCGGCCCGGCGCTGCCTCCTGCTGCTGGCGCTGGCGGCGCGCCGGCGGCGCCCCCGGCCTCCGCCGGCCCTCCCGGCGCCGCCGTGCCCTGCCCGGAGTTGGCGCAGCCGGCGGGGCCGGGCGCGGCCGTGCCAAGCGGAGCGCCCCGCTCGGCGGCGGGTCGGGCAGCGGTGGAAGCTGTCGGCAGGAGGCGGTGTGCCGGGAGGACGTGGGTGCGGCTCTGCTTCGAAAGCATCAAGCTGGGCAACAACCTCGGGCCGTGCTCGAGTGCCCTGCAGGACGGTTCCGCGAAGGTGAGGGACGGGCCCGGGGCCGGGCTCGGGCCTGCCCGCGGCGGCGAACAAAGAGCGGGGTCCGCGCCGCCCGCGAGCCTGCGCCGCGCTTCCCTCATGGCTGTGCTTTTAAAAGCGGCGGTTTGCGCTTGCGGACCCCAGCGCTGGCGGGGTGGCGGTGAGGGCTGCGGAGAGCGGCCCCTCCTCGTCCGCTCCTCGGGGCTCCGGCAGCGCCCGGCGGGCAGGGAGAGCTCCCGGCGCTGCCTTTGTGCTCTGCCTCCGGAGCCTCCGGGGTTATTCGCTTCCAGAGCCCTGCCCGCGTAGTGTTGAGCGAAGGCGCCGTGCTGGTAGCAGCACTGACCTGAGGAGGTGTTTTTTTCGCGTTCCTGCCTTCTCGTGGAGCTCCGCTGCAGAGGCGGCTGGTTTCCAGTCCTCGCTTGTGCGTGTATGAAACTCGATATACAGTCTTTAGATCTGGCTTAGTGTACGGGGAGGTTTATGTGTTGTTCCCAAACATCTGTCGTGAGCGGTTTTAAGTCCAGCTCAGGAAAAAAAACTGAGTTACCAGCTCAGAGTCTTCCAGCTCCATCTTTTCATTCATTCCTGGGTTCTTCCTCCGTTTGAAGCAGCCTTTGGGGGAAGTGCTTTGGGTGAGCTGTTCTGGTGTTGAGGTCTGTGTAGTTCTTGGCTTCTCTGCTGTGAAGTCCAGGAATGTCAGACTGGGTCAGTTCTAATGGTGTTTTTACCAAAGTGGGAATGCGATTAGGAAAAACCTGGGCTCGTTTCTCATCCGTTATTATGGAGACAGCAGATGGCAGTGGCAATGGTTACTCTCATCGAGGGGAATCTTGAACCAGTAAGTGTCAGTGATTACTTCTGGCTTATAATACAAGACTAATTTAGATTTTTATCCAATTTAGTGTTTTAATTTTGGGCGGTTTATTAAGACATTTGTAGATGCTTTAAGTGAGTCCTGCTGCAGCATCTATCACAGTTATGAAACGCTCCGATGATTTGCTTTATGAATAACTTGTCCTTCGCTGTTTCTTCCACCTGTCTGGGACCTTTTGGCCTTCTTTTAGGGAGGCATCCTATCCAAGAGGATCTTGGAAGCTGCTCTCACAGGCGGTTGCTCACAAGCTGCCAGCCTGCCAAAAAGGCAGGCTCTTGTTGTTCCCTTTCTTTGCAGTTGCATAGCCCCTCCCTTCTCTTTTCATAGTTCCAGTGCTTGCTGGTCTTCTGCCATTTTAGCAAGGTGAACCTTTCTATGGTCTAGTTTATCAGCTTTCAGCTGGAATAGTTGTGTCCCTTTCCTGAGTTCAAGCCCAGAGGGGGGTGGCTGCGGGGCTGGGGCACGGGGCTGTGCAGGGAGGCTCCAGAGGTGAAGGCATGCTTTGCATCACGCTTTTTTTTCCAGCATGTGCAAACCCTTATGCTGGCTCTGCATATCTCCTGAGAACTCTGCTCTTTTGAACGTCTGCTTGTGGTTTTCCTTTTCCTATTCCTAGGAATGATGTCAGTAGTTTGCTGACTGTTGGTCTTGTCTGGCTGTAGTGCTGCCTGATGCCCAGTGCTGAAGGCAGATCTTCTCCTGGGTGGCATCCCAGGCATCGACAGGACATCTCAGGGTTCTCTTGGATTGAGTTTTCTCTATGAAGGTGCCACTCTGCAGCCCTGTCCTTATTTGTGTGTCAGCCTGCAAAGAGCACTGTCAGCTGGCCTTACCCTCAGCAGTGCTGCTGGAACACTGATGTGATGGGCTGTATCCTGACGCAAAAAGAACTTCACAGAGGGCTGCCCTGAGAAATTAATTAAAATAACTGACTTCTGCCTACCCCTGCTGTTTAACTCTTGATATTTAGACTGTGAATAAAAGTCATGAGCTGTAAACATGGGGTAGCACTTCATCTGATAGGGAGCAGGGTCAGATGTGGTCTCAGATGTTTCCTTTGTGTTGGAGGTGACAGCAGAGGAAACAAGTGACGTATTGGCTGTTTCACTGTTGTTGATATAACTTTTAATTTTGACCCTAGAGCATCTGACTGCTTGTTTGGACGATACCAGAAAAGTGACAATTACATTTTAAAATGGATCTAGTCTGAGTCATACAGCCCACTTAAAAACAGTCAGGCTACAGTAGATGGAAGATTTGGGGGAGTTTTGTGCTTGAGAGCATCAGTAAGGACAGTGTGTGGACACTACTTCTCTGCAAGTAGTAGGTAAGATTTTTAGATGCAGGTAGGCTGCAGAAGCAGCCTTTCTGCTGTAGGTGTTTGTCTTACTTTTCTCATAAAAAATATTCCTCTAAAGGGGTGAAACTTCCAGTTTGAAACTGGAAGCGTTCCTGATAACGGTGTGATACATGTAAGCTAGGGCACTTCTAAGTCTGAATAACCTGTAATCTTCCTTTTGAGTCCATAAAGCATAGAAAAAAGAAAAGGTGTGCCTGTTTTGTTAGTGTGAATGTGATCATGTTGTTCCAGTACCTGCTGATTTCTAGGTGTGGAAGCCTTTAGAGTAAGTCCTCCCTTGCTTTCTCTGGGTAGTTCTCTTTGAATGTAAAGGACAGAAGTGTTGAGTTGTGGTTGACTGGGATAGGAGCTCAGCTTGTAGAGTGAATGTTGAGAGAAGCTGTTTAACACACATGTTCAGTAAAGAGTGGTTTGACATAAAGAAAACAGTAATAAAAACCCAAAAGCCAACCCACACCCAAAACCCAGCCCAAAACAACAGTGGCACAAAGCAAGAAAACCCACCCAAACCAACCCCCAAACCAGTAAATTTTTAAGTTTTGGTTTTGAGGGGTTACTTGTAGAATGTCAGTTTGAAGTATTATCAACACAGTTATTTAAGCACTGTGTATTTTTAGAATTCTTTTAAAAAGAAAAAACAGACCCCCACACTGATACCAAATACTTTTTACTTACTGATTTTTCCACTGAGTGCAGAGTCCACTTCTGCAGGGGCAAAACTCTTCT